CAAGGCAAACAGAAGTAAAATAATCAATTTCTAAAACATATATATATATATATATATGTTTTAGAAATTGATTATTTTACTTCTGTTTGCCTTGGTCCAGGATTTATATATATATAAATAAAAAATGAAGCCCTTTAATCATCACTGTATTCTTCTCCTGCTTAAAAAAGAAATGATTACATGAGACTAACATAAGTTGTACTTTAGTGACCACATTTTAATGTTTTACACAATTAATAGTCATAAAAACTCGTGATTGACTACAGTATTGATACCACTTACTTGTTACAGGGGCAAACACATAAACCACAACATTTATCCATTCCTGTTAAATTTTTTTCAGCTTCTTTCATATCTGCATTTATTTTGTCCATGTCTTCCTCAACCCTATCTAGTTGTTCTAGTAAGATGGATATAATTATATCAGATATGAATCATAGGTCTTTATTAATAAAAAATTCTATAAGTATTAATTCTGGGCTGCATCTAAGAGGTGAACTTTTTCAAAGGTAAACTGCAGATTTTTCAAAAACGAATAAACACCAATGAACATGTAACAAATATTTTATCATAAATTAGTAATTGTTTTCATATTTACTACAGAACAATCAACTTACTAAAATATGTTATAATTAAAACAGGCTAAAGTTGAGTATCTGTTTATTTCCTGTGCTTTATCATATATTTGTTAAACCAAGCCTTTCTAAAAGTTCCTATTTCACTTAGTGTCAATCTTCAAGGTAACAAACAATTTAACTTCTTTAATGGTTTAGTGAAAAAAAAGAGAGTTTTTAACACACATTTTAGACAGCCGGTTTATAAAAAATACAATGTTTTACAAGTATTTTAAAGTCCTGATAACAATATACGCAGTATATCTTGAGATACAAAAAATTATCACGAATACATTTTTATGCAATTGGTAAACATACAAGGTAGTTCATATATAGTGCTACCTACAGTATACACTGACAGTGGTATAACTTATTAAGGAAGGAATTAAAAGGAAACACCTAATGCAGGATAACGCATCCTTAAATTCCATTTCTTTTATTTTCACACTCACAAAACTGTTATTAAATAGTTTCATATCCTGGAAATTTCCTGAGTATAAATGATATCTTTATCTCTTCTTTTTTAGCACAAGTTTTGCTTTGAACTATGGATGAACTTAAAATACTGAATCTGTTGGTGGATAGTTCTAAATATTGAGTGACTTATAATATTGTAATGAAAAAAATTAAAACAAGGTAAAACGAAAAAAAGGTCAAAAATTTATTTTCAAATTAAAACATGTTATACGAAAATTGTATTCTTGCTAACTTGCTATTAGGGTAACTACTTATTTGATTCCAAATAAAGGTTTTTCTACATATACATATATTACCTGTGCATAAAGAGTGTCTATGTCAAAAATAAAGCCTTACCCCCTTGTTCATCCAACATAACCATAGTTTTTATTCCTAGATCTTCACTCTTCATAATGAAAAAAGAAATAAGCAAAATATGATCAACCAAAGATAAAAATGCATTTTGTCATGCAGTAAATAGGAAGAAGAAAAAAACCAAAAGTGTGCTTAAACAGTCTCATGTGATATCTCCTTCAAAGAGGAACTTTTTTTATTCAATATGTATGTTCATATGGTCAACAGCATATTTTCTGTCAAGATGAAAAATTCAAGCAACATAATTAAACTGAAACCATGCTATTTTGAAGTAGTTAATAAAATAAAACTACTGAGGTGAAATGATGAATTGAAATTGTGTTAATAGTCTTCAAAGTCTAGCACGTCATATGATAAATTTTCTAAAAAAGGAAACCATAAAAACAATGACTGAACTAAATCTGGAAAAATGTTGATTCTTGTAACAAGGGGTAAACATGTTGTGCGTTTTTCTTACCTCCTTGGTCGTCAAGAGCCACTAATGTTCGAATCCCTGCTTCTTTACTCTGAGATTTGAAGCATTAAAAGAACAAAATAATGCTTCCATTGAAAAAACAATGGAAAACAGGCTGAAATGTAAAGTTTTTTTTTCTCTCGAAAAACAAATAATAGTACTTCACTAGTAAAAGTCACATATAGATTTTCAAATTCTAAGTTTCTGAATATATAAATATTGTATCATAATAAATACGTTTTCCCATCAATTCCAAACAGAAATCTGTTTTAGCTAATAATCAATTCAATTAATCAACCATTTACAGCTAAACAAGAATACCGAACTTTGGAGGCATGTTTTGCTTGTTTTCCTGCTCGGTACAGTTCAAAACTTACACTATGAAAATCGTGATTATTTAATCACATGAAATGGTTTTTAACGACTATCTACGGCATCAGTTTTGTCACGTTCAACCCGTATAATATCCAATTTCCCTGGCGTGGCAAAATGAAAACGAAACTTATATTGTTCAATGCTAACAAAATACAGTGAAATAGTTTTGTTTTCATACATTGACATTCCTCATTCTTCAAATAAAGTACAACTGAATTCACTTTTCCTGTTTGTTCTCTACGAAGTAGATTCTAAAACATGTAAAAACTACAGCAAATTTAAAGTAATAAACTTCAGTCCCATGCGATGTTAAATAAACAAAAACGAACACTAATCCAAAACGCAATTCCATCACATTTATAGGTACAGTTTGAAAGTAGTATAGTGATTTCCTTACGACTTTCAGCACAAAAATAATAGTGTTGCGTTACTAACTGTTATGTAAAAGTGTAGTTAAAATGATTGTACGCAGAGGCGGAACTAGAGCGGGGCGGATGAGGCAATACCCCGAGGCCTGATCTGGTCTTATGTTCTGAAAAAAGGAGCCACGATCATTTTTTTGCCCTGGGGCCCCTAAACTGCTTGTTCCGCCACTGAACTACATTGCTACAAAAAATAAATAAATAAAATAATGATTTGATGGATAATTTTTATTACAATTAATAAAAAACACTTACAGACATTCCACGATTTACAAACTGCCGAATTACGAATTTTCGCTAAACGAAAATATATTTGAGCGTCCGCATCATATTCGTAAATCGAGGAATTCCTGGATATTATCACTTGTACAGTTTGTATATTATATTAATATACAACATAAACTAAAAATTTCCTTAAAGTAAACAAACTTCAAGTCACATGTTACATCTTCATCACATTCCAATTTGTTATTTTAATTATATATTTCACACGTAAAGTATGCAAACATTGTATTCGTTGCTTTAAAGTCACGGCAGCAAATTCCCTTTTAATTGCAATTTAGATCTAGTTCTTAAAATTGCTTCTGGTATTTTCAAACTAATTCGATTGCGACTTTTCGTTGTTAGTAACTCCAGAACAAATGGACTCCACCACAGCATTGCTTGCGGGCATTACAAAACAATTTAATACATAATTCGCCAATTCTTCAAAAACAGGTACACTTATACTGTTTTTGAACTTCAAAACTCCAGTCCAGAACTCAACATCGTTATTTAGAATTTCTTATTTAAAAACACTTTCTTCAATCCAATGAATACAAAATACCTTTCTATATTCTTCAACATTAAAAGTAACGAGGCTTCGAAATGGTAGTTCGGTAAATTTAGAACGAGTAGCCTGACAAAAAACTTTTTCAGGACGTAGCAATCATATATTAAAATATATATATTTGTTCCGTCAGACAATCGTTTTTGGACTTGTTCAACTGCTTCTAGTATGACATCTTTGCAGCGATATTGTACATCATTAATAGCAGATGTTATTTCCAGATGCTTCTTCTGTAGCTCATTGCAATCACTTAAAAATTTAGCACCGTAATCAATTTTTGAAAGTGGCAATAACATTCCATTAACATCATACACTCTGGATTTTCAACTCTTATAATGAACAGCATTTCAGCCGGGTTAGCATCTGTTGCCTGAAAGGCTGAATTCACGGTCTCAAACTCAGTTAAAACGGGCAGTACAAATGTAAGGTATAACTGATTTAAAGGATCTCTAAGCATGTTCAGCAATTCTTTTGCTTTATACCGCATAGACACATCAATAATTGTTTGGACGCAAGTAAGTTTCCAATTAAATAAGATGTTGCTTATAATTTTTCCTCTGACCAACCACATCGTCGCAGACAACTTTTGAATTGGCAATGTTATTCTCAATCTGGGTTCATGGTATTAAACAAGGAAATAAAATCTTCACGCCTTATATCGCTGGTAGAAAACCATCGGGAAATTTCTACTAGAAGATATCCAAGTTGAGGGAAGTTTTTCAAACGCTTTCTTTACGCATAACGCAAGAGTGGCATATATATTTATTCAAAACACAATCCGGTGATACTTTCTTCAAGCGAGACCATATTGAATTATGTTTTCCTACCATGATAGATGCACCGTCACAACACAATCCTACAAAATCTGACATATTCACCCCTAACACCGAAAGACCATCTTGAACTGTTTTTTTTTTTTAAACTTCTCTGGGTGCAGCCACAACAGGCACAAGACCCAAAAATGCAGTGACAATTTGCTCATTCTCTACACTGTAATATATAATCACGATGTACAAGTGCTTCTCAACTGAAATGTCCGTCGATTCATCGATTAATATAGCATATTTTACGTCTTTAATATCTTCTTTTAGTTATTTATAATAAGAAGGCGATATAACCTCGGTAATTATTTTGCTGCATTTAGTACGATGAAATCGTATTTTACCAACACTACTTCCCTTACCATTACGGCTAATTCCCCCCATATGATCAATGGTCAAAACCGAACAGTGACAAGTAACTGAAGCAGCAAGTTCAAGCTCCGATTGTTTAATTTCGTTCCGAGGTTCACCACTAATGAGGTTTAACGGACGCCAGTTAGAGGTTGCATGAATGCTACTTAAATACAGACGAATATTTTGGTGATCAACAAGATTACAATGCTTAGGAGCCAGTGTAACTTCGAATAGTCTACAATATGCAAAGTTCAGTATGAACTGTAGCTTTTTTAATTCACGTGAACTCTGATTCCCATTCTTCTTTGTATTTTCTACCACTTTCATACGATCCTTTCCATTTCTTACTCATTTTAGCTTCACATTAAAACCAATTTTAAGACAAAAGCTAACAACCAAGATTGGTAGAATAAAGGCAATCTTCACTTGGCTGGTTGACTGCGTTTGCGCTGTCAACAAGACTTGGCAACCGCTTACGTCAAAAACTCTTTTATGCCACTTGCCGAATAAACTCAAAGCTAATTTTCTTCGAATTTGGCAATGAGAATACATTTTCTAGTACTGTATACATTTAAAGGAAAATATTGGATTGATGAAGCATTACTAAAAACGGCGCCCGGCATGGCTAGGTGGTTAGGGCGCTCGACTCGCAAATCGAGGGTCGCGGGTTCGAATCCCCGTCCCACCAGACATGCTCGTCCTTTCAGCCGTGGGGGCGTTATAATGTGACCGTCAATCCCACTATTCGTTGGTAAAAGAGTAGCCCAAGAGTTAGCGGTGGGTGGTGATGACTAGCTGCCTTCTTTCTAATCTTACACTGCTAAATTAGGGACAGCTAGCGCAGATAGCCCTCGTGTAGCTTTGCGCGAAATTCAAAAAGAAACAAACTAAAAACGGCCAAAATCTAACTTACAGCCAATCATTTTTTTGGCGGCCAAGCCCTTTTTTAAGCGGCCAACCTAGCAATCCTGATCTGCTGAGGTCATTACACTACCACTGGGCCAATCCGCCCCCTTTACAAATTCGACATCCACCTTGTTTTGTTATACAGAAATTCACTAAATTCAATCATAATTGATTATCAAAGTTAGGTAATGAAGTGACTGCATCATTAAATGGTTTAATTATTTAACAACTGTTTTATTCTCGTATAAAATCTTCAGAATTAAGATTTTTTTTTCTAAGACTTTAATTTTTTTCTAGTGGTATTTGACGTTTTCATTAAACAGTAAAGAATATTTTTAAGCAAAGGAGAATCGTAAGAACAAAGTTACATAATGGGATATCTAAGCTGTGCTCACCACGGGTATCGAACCCGGATTTTTGTTACAGTTATAAGCTCTCAAACTTATTGCTGAGCCACTGGGGGGGGGGGGCTTAAAACCTGAGATTTTGCTAGAAAAACCAATCGATACATAGACTCTCTGTAACATTTCACAAATACTGAATTGCCCAAACACTAAAACAATGTATTTCTAAAAATTCAAAGAGAAGTGTAGAAAATATGACAAAAAAAACGGCCTTATTTATAATATGAAAATGTTAAAGTAATATTCAGGCTCAAAAAATGAATGCGTTTTTGAAAACAATAATCTCGAAACAATAGCACATTCTACATTTTTTCCCAGCTGTTTTTATATGTTTGAGGAAAATCAACTCAAACCTGGATTATTGGACAAATAAAACCAACCATATACACTTTTGTTTCTTTATCAAAATAGTATATACGATGCCCATCAATCAAATAATAAACAATCATTTACGTAAAAGTTACGGTGTGAACGCAAGTAATAGGTAGGCAAACAACGATTGATAAACATAAGGAAAAGTTTTATTGATGGTGGAACATACAATATGTTTGGACAGAACATTGTTCGGTATTCTACAGGTATGCCAACAGGCCTAAAATTAGAAAGTTTAAGCAAATTTGCTCCAACATGAGAGTCCTTCAATAACTATTTTTAATACCTCAAGTTAACTTGATCTCCCATGTTTAATTGCAAAATTATAGTTTATTACAGATGGTGAAAAAAGGCAGGACCGAGGAACAATTTGTGGATACCATTGCTTCTAGTTTTAATTGATTTTATAGCTTGGTGATGTTTGTTTTGATTTTAGTTGTTATTAAGCACAAAGCTACACAAAGGGCTATATGTGCTTTGCCCACGACGGGTGTCGAAACCCGGATCCTAGCGTGGTAAGTCCCCAGACATACCGCTGTGCCACTGGGGGGCGCTTGGTGATGAGTTAAAAAATATTCTGTAACCCTATATCTAATTATTTCGAAAATAGCTAAAGAAAATTTTCTTGTTGCGGTAAGTAAAAATATGTTTAACAATGAAATAATATTTTAATTTTAAACAGCACAACAGGTTCTCTTATATAATCATAAACAGCTGGTTGCTGTATAATATCGAATAATGAATTCGATGAAATGGCATAACATTATTCACATATCTATATTAAGTTAGGTTACAATATGGTGAAGCAAACCGGACTCAAAACCTATAGATATTGTATACATATCAACATTATAAGAGGCATAATTGTATTTCTTTGGTTTGCTGACCCAAGTTGTGCTGATGAACCTTGAATAGGCGAAACTGCAGTCCACAGCAGAGGGTACGGCCAATCTAAGAATGCATTAAGCCTCTTCGTCACAGTTTCTCTTTTCATTTTCACCTCTGGTGAAAAATAGAATAAATCTTTAACGCACAATCGTCAAACAGTTCGTCCGCTGTGTAATATCGAATAACGAATTCGACGAAATGTCATAACATTATTCACAAACCTAAATTAATTTAGGTTACTATATGGTGAAGTAAAACAGACTAAAAACACCATAGATTCTCTTATTATTTCCCTCGAAGTTAACTATAGTCATACGTAACCTGTCAACACAGAATTAATTAAAGTATTATTGTGATAACGTTGCTCTTTCGTTGGACAGGTCCTTTTAACGGGGATTAGAACCTACGACCTGAAGATTGCGAGTCGAGTTCCCTGACCACATGGCCTCTGTTATTGATACATGTATAAATGTAACTTTTCTATACGATTACTGCACAATATGTCATATAAAAAAACAACTTTGTTTTCATACAATCTATTCGAAACACTAAGCTTTTAATTTTTTTAAAGTGAAATACAATATTACAGTTAAAATGAAAACTTATCATGGACATTTCATCACAATGAAATAATTAAACAAGTACATAAAAAGGTCAACCTTTAAAATTTCTGCAACAAAAGAGTAAAATATATTTTACCTTTAACAAAAATGAAAAACTTACCTCCTCACATAATGTTAACATTCGCCTTGTCGACTCCAAAGACTGAAATAAAAGAATAAAGCTAGTCATTGCCATGTTTAATACCAAAGAGAAACCATCACATACATAATTTCATTGGTTATTTACTGGTGTTTAACGGGACAGAATCGTCAAGTTGTCAGCATAACTGTTCTTTAATTCAAGTTTGAACAAAAAAATTAAACCATATAAATCCCTTTAACGTTGCCAAAATCAAAAAATTAATCTGTGCACATCCTGAAAACTAAAATATTAGAAAACCAATAAACCTAAAATTGTTATAAAAACAAGTTAACCGTAGATGTTTTTTTTCCCACATTCCTCTTAATTCATCCACTGCGGTTCCATTGATTTTCAGGAAGTCAGCCCTAGGGATAGTCCCATTGCAACAATAACTAGTTGGTGGTTATACTGATTACTGAATATGTGTAATTGAAAAATTGTATATGATGGTGTAACTTCAGGCATTTCTTATATTTTCACCTCGACTTTTCAGTTACTGTCACACATGCATATTCCTAAAATTTGTCATCTAATTAAATGTTTACCATCATCATAGAGTTTGCAATTTTTATTAAATTCCAACATTTTATATCAAAGCTGTTTTTTCTTCTTCTTATAACACATTCTTTTGATTCACTGTATTGCAAATATGTTCTTATTTTAATTCACTAACAACGTCACTAAAAATATCCTAAGGACAATTCACCTCTGTGTATCCCATTCTCACTTCATTTGTGCGCAAAGGTTTACCCGTTTTTCTGTTATCATGTAATTATACCCAAAATAAGCTTAAACAAAATGGTTGATTACAAGTTTTCTTGAACAAAAACTACACCAAATATGAGATTTAAATAATAATAACGTTATCACCACAGACGTCTATTCACTCACTTTTTATGATCTATAATTTTGTTGCGAATAAATGCACATAGTTGCTAATATGTGGTCTAGTTAATATCATTTGATGAAATATTATTAAAGGAGTTTAAGGAACTTTGTGTATGTGAGTTTCATACTTAAATAAACATAAGTTATGACTTAACAATGTATAGAAATTGTGAATATTTTTTCTGCACCATTCACGATATATTTGGTGCACACATGAAATTACATGGACTATCCGCAATCTTTTACAAAACAACTGTAAGTTTCCACTAATCCATAAACAGCTCCAAGGACTTAATCTATAATATGTAATTTTCATATATGTTATATTTTAGTGTTATATTTATCATGTTATTCAAATTCATGAGATATAGCTAATGTTATTAAACAAGAAAACAAAACTGAACAGATTTGGACCTTTATGGAAGCAGAACCTAATGTTACCCTAAAATAAACTCTAAAAATAAGGATGAAGCCAATAAAAATATTTCAGTTGATCACGATTCTCCACATATTACACAAAACGGATAACGGTGTTAGAGAAAGGCTGGAGAAATACTGCTTCTAGAGAAAGACAACTTGAAATTAAGGAAGAGTGAAATAATAAAAACAATATAACAGTAAATAATTTATATGGAAGAAGGTTTCTAGTAAGTTCATATATAATGCAACTTGATGGCCATAAAACTTTAATTTCTCCGAATTTCATTAATTGTTCAATAGTTTCTGTCACTTGTTAAACCTGACAGCAATTTCAGTAAGATACCTTTGCTTTTTCATCCTGGACAATCTAAAATAGAAAATAAATGATTAAGAGTATAATGTTAAAGAAACCTTATGGGGAAAACTAGCTTAATGTAACTTTGAAGAAACCAAAGGTACAGATAAGATTCAACAAGTAGATGTTTAGCGTATTTATACCAAGACTTTACCATGTTCCGTGCACATAGAGAGCGCAAAAAACAAACAAAAACAGTATTCACTTCAGCTTGTATTAAGTGATTGGAAAACACAAGAATTCGAACTACATTTTGTGTAGGTAACTTTAAGTCTACTTTTTTTTAACATGTTTCCTTTTAGCCCAAAGTTACACAATGGACAGTCTGTGCTTTGTCCACCGTGGGGAATCAAACCCTAGATTTTAGTTTGTGGACTTACCACGGACCCACTAGGGACTTTGTTTATAAGCCGAAACAAGATAAACTGATACAATTATTGTTCATCCATGATGAAATACATGAAAACACAAATATTTCAGTCTGCTGAAGACGAAGGTACCACGGAGAAGTTTCCTTCGTTTTTGTAAGGTTAAAAAGAATAGAGAAAAAGATTGCTGTAAAACTTAATTTTGCACTGCCCTTTTAAGTACGTACAGATTTGTGCTACACTATATAGACAATATGGTATTAAAGTATATTTAGACTATTACAATATAAACCGTTAATATTATGTATTAATGTATCTTTTCTGCAATACAATAAAGTGATACAAAGTTTATTACGTAAACCTGACAAAGAAACACCGGTTTACGATAACTGAAATATCAAGATACTAAGGACACAGAATTCCGACACATTGTGCTATATATATATATATTAAATGAAAAATAAAATGTTGTCCTTACAAAAATTATCTGTCACCCCCTAACTTATGTGACAGTATATAATATGAACACATACTTAAAGATTAAACTTTGTATACGCAGTATTCAGGTACACTGATGTCTGACATACAAGTTCCGTAAGTCTTAGATTCCGGAAATGTTGTTATTATTATAGCAAAGGAAAACAAGCAAACAAAAGTGAACAAATAAAATAGCTTTAACACAGTGTCTATTTCTTTACCTATTCTCCGGCTTATTATTTGTTCGAATTAAAACTAACAGCTTGGGATACGAGATGATTCTGATCACGTGTGCACAGGATAATGACTCGCGAAAGAATAATATAGTACCGAACTTTAAAGTCATAAAATGGTTCTATAGTTTGGTATCCCACAATCCTTAGATTACCTTTTCAACGATTATTGTACATTAACAAATACAAGAGAAAGCGCTATCAACTTATACCAATTTGTTCAAGTATCTGAGATTGGATTGCCCTGCCCCAAGTAATAAATACAATATCAAACTGGAACAACCTTCTATTGAATAGCCGTGATTGAATGCTTGTGTAACCTTTAACCTAAGCAAACGGATTAATGCATCTTTACAATAATGTTATTATCTCCGTGCATAAAACCTACATGAAAATTTGGAAAAATGACCTGAATACACCTTACTATAGATATACTCTAAAATAGTTATGGAAGGTCGGTGAAATTATCATTTCAAATGAAAAATCTTTATGAGAATGTTGGAAAAAAGCTTAGTTACAACCACAGGCAGTTAAAGCGATTTATTTTCGTCTTTGTTAGCACAAACTCGTAAATTTGTAGCCTCCGTTTATACTTTGTTTTCACTATGTAAAACATGTGCCTGAGCCTGTTTTTATTTTGGAATTTTTTATCCTTGTTATATATATTATGTTACGTATTGAGAATTTAAAATAGTCCGAAGCCGATATTTTAGTTAATTTATGCTATTTGGCAACAAGATTGACTCACATGGTTTTCGGTTTTCACACAAATACGTTTTAATATATATATATATATATATATATATAC